GCTTAAAACTTACAAAAAACGATATAAAAAATATTCCTAAATTTAAATAAAGTAAAATTTTAATTAGCCGTGTTATTCCTAATGCGCATTCTTGGAAAGTATAGCCTCATGCACAGGTGACATCTTGTTGAAAAGTCATCTCTGTCATCATTAGCTTATTTTCTCTTCTTTTGTTTAATCTTGGCATTTTCTAGTTCTATTAAGTACTATTATTGTTTTTCTTGGTGCTGTGCTGTGTCAGTGTGTTTATCGAGTGATTTTTTCTTCAAGTGGTTTATTATAGACGTACTCTTAACCACAACCAAACTTTTCTTGAATGATACCCTGTTGCGAGGCTACTTCGTTTACATGAAATTATCTATAAAGCGCATGCTCAGTAACATGGATATAATTTTTATTTATTAGTTCTATAAAAGTCAATATTGTTCTATAAATTTAAATATGTAAATTCTATAATTCCTTTAGCTTGTCACTTGGGGTTTGAAACTTCTTAAATGTTTCTAATATTGCCAGAATATCGCGATATTTAAGGACATGACAAAGAAGACATTTTTTGGCACTTATGTCCAATGTCGAATGTCGAAAATCGACCTTAGCAACGGAAATGCTTAAAAAAAAGTAAATTTGGAATCCCATGATGCGGATTATGTCCATTATTTCCATTTGAGGCTTTCTTAAAAAGATATAACCCATTTTATGTGGGCATTTCTTCAACATTTGTCAAAAATAGTTACAGTTAGCAGACGTTGTACTTACGAAACGGCACCATATCGATACATTTCTTTTTTTTACTCTATAAGTTGTTAATATGTATAAACATTTGTTCCATTTCGTTAATTTTTATTTCACTTTTAGGAAAATTAAAAAAAATCTGTTAACTCGTTTATAGAAACATTTTTCTATTTTGGTCAATAATTCGTTTCGATAAGTTGTTTTTTGCCATTCTCTGCAAAAATGTGTTTCTATTTTTAATTACCTATTTCATTTGTATTGATTGCCTTATAAATTCTACGTATTTTTTTAAGAAGCCCTAATCTATTACGCTAGAAGCAATATATACACAATTTTCTATTAATTTTAGATTCCTCAATGAAAAATGGAACTGACTACAAACAGGACTTCAGCACTTTGCAGGATATCCTAACTACTTGCCCAGTTCGGAATGACGCTTCGAACATTGCTGACGATTTTCCTATGGGTTATCCCCAATGCGCCTTTGAAAATTTTAAAGATATGATAACAGCTGTTACGTGGGAACTGTAAGAATCACTTTGTGAATTGCTTTATTAAAACTAATTAACTTTTTTACTTTTCCAGAAATTCAAACCGTGAATCTTTGTCGAAAAAAGGATTGGGTCTGAAAATGACCAAAACACCGGTAAAATTTTGGACTGTCTCTCCAAATCCCGAGCCAGTATCATTTTATTCAACCTTACTTTGGGCAGAACAAGTTGGAAATGCCGCAAAAATTGGATACGATGTGGTTTTCAGACATCCCAAATTGAATGATATTTTTTCCGATACTCCTGTAAGTCAATTCACGGGTAAAATGATTACACATTAGTCTAAATAATTTGGGGTCCTACATAAAATTGACTTCGAAAGTCAATACTGTCTGCTACTAAGAAAATATTCTGAAACTATTACTTATCACAGATCTTTGAGGTGAAAATTTGACGTTTTAGCTAATATCCAAAGTTACTTTGTTACTAGTTTTTTCCAAATAATTCTAATAATTCTTTGTCCGATTTAAATGAGGTTTGGTATGCTAATACTTACGTTTAGATGTCGCCTTTAAATATAAAAATTGTGGCTTTCTTAAAGTTTGTCAAGCCATCTCACAGGTCCTTTTTCTGTTTTCTTAAATTTGTTCATTGCCTCGAAATATTCTAGTTCATTTTTTTTTCTTTTTCTTAGTTTTAAATAAATGTATTTCTTATATGAACCTTCATTTTTATGACCATTATTTTAGGCTTATTGGTTTTCACTGTTACACAAAAAATTAATTGGGAAAAGCGTATTAGAGGTAAAACCATTAGCACATTATTCAGGTTCTTCCGTTTTCGCCCACTGTACAAAAAAGCAAGATAATTTTAAAGGAAGAGGAGCTTTAACCGTAATGGTAGTTAATACAAACTCACAAAGTTATAAGGCCAAAATAAAGTTGGAACACGTTCCATGGGGTACATACATGGAAGTTAACTCCTATATTTTAACATCCTCGGACAGCAACTCTAAGTAAGTGCTAATTTTTTTTATAATTTTGTGGTATGAAACGAATAAAAAATATTTTCACTATTGGTCTCAAACAAAAATGTTATTTCAGTGAGGTCTTCCTAAATGATAAAAAACTAACGCCTAGAATTTTACTAGAGAAAGATCCTTTCCAACCAGAGATACGTATCATGAAACCTAAAACTTATTTGTCCCTCAAAGTACCACCGATGTCTATAGGCTTCTTCGTATTACCAAGAGCAAAGGTACCAGTTTGTATCAACGAAGAAAAAGAAAGAAATTCCGCCTCTCAGGAATCAAATACAGCCGAAACTTCTCATGTTTCTAAGGAACCATCTTTGAAGTTTCAGTCAAAACGTCCATTTAATAAAAACCTCTCTCCGGAAGGACTTAATCGGAAAATAAGAAAAGCATTCGACCTTGATGAAAAATTTCCCAGATCTAGTCTCAGGTCAAAGTTGAACGCTTTAAAACAGAGAATTCAATCTGATTCCGTAGAAAGCCCAACCGATTTTACTCAACAAAGGAAATATTTAGATACAACTATACTGTCAGAGGAAGAATATAGGAAACTGATGAAGAGGAGAGAAGAACTGAAGAAACAAATTTTTGGAGAGCGCGATAAACAAAACATCGAAATCGGACCGAGGTCTGGATACTTGGACCTTACAAGTGAAGAAACGATACGGATTTTAAAAGACCGAGCCAGAACAAGAGCCGCTCAAAAGAAAATATTTTTAACTGAAGACGAATTAGATCTCATCGCGGAAGCGGTAAGGCGAAGAATTTTGAAAAATTTGCCAGCCGAAATGGAAATACGAAAAAACAACGTTGTTAACACGGAACCATTGAAGAAAGAAGTTCGAAGATCGCTTAGAAAACCCAGAGATGTTAATACCAAACTATTGAATCTTAGAGCAAAGTTAGAGGAAAACAGACAGCGCTTGGAAGAAAGAATGTCTGATGTTGTGGGAAATGCCCAAACTTTGAAACAGAATATTAGAGACAAAATTAAAAATCTAAAACAAAAAAAATATCGCTTCAAGAGGGACATAAATATGGAACTTCTCAAACTAAAAACTGAAGGACGAAAGAAAAAAGAAAAAGAGCTAATGATGAAAAAGCAGTCTAAAAGTTTGTTCAAAAATAAGAAAGATAGCAGACAAAAATCAGGACAATCCAGTGATGAATTAAGTGAATTAGACGATGAAGAAGATTCTTCTTCAGAAAAAGTTGTTCATGCTATGGACTTTTTTACTGAATCAGCTACTTCCGAAGAATCAGGACAAGAAAATATGGATTCTTCAGACAAGGATAGAAAACATAAGAAATTAAGTTTGCTTGATCGGATTAAACAGCTTGCTGCAGTTAAACCTAAAAATGATGTTTCTAGATTAAAACAAGATAAGGACGATTCAGATGAAGTAGAAAATTCTCTTGCGTTTTTAACTGCTTCAGATGAAATGAATGATATAGGAGGGGAACTTCCGTGTATCTCTGAATACTTTGGATCTCCTAGTAAAAAATCAAAGCTGAAAAAGAAAGGGAAAACGGTAACAAAGGATATTAGTGAACTTAATTATATAATTTTACTTTTTTAAAAATTTTTTTTTATAGGCTAAAGACTCAATGGAGTATTTACGAAAAAAGCGTAGTATTCTTACCTATGAAAATGTTCAGGAATTAGGCGAGGTGGAAAACGATGTTTCTAAGGTAATATTTCCAATTAAGTACTATTCATCATGTAGTATAACCCATAAATCGATTTTATTTCCAGGCCTCTATAGACTTTGATGAAATTGATAATGGATTGAATCTAATTCCAAATTATGTCAATCAACGAAATGCTAATGATTGTTTAGACAATTATAGAGATCAGGTAAATTGTTGTCTTCTTAGTAGTGGTGTATTCGGGTGCTTTATTATAACTTTCTATTAATTTTTCTTTTTCTATTTTATGAATTTACTGTTTCAGTTTGGAAGCAGCCAGTATGAAGAATTAACAGAAAAACGCGTAAGAAGAAATACGGAAGACGATATGATGCCAAATGAAAAAAATACACCAGTTCACAAAATAGATATAAAGCAACGTTTAAAAGATTTGTTGCAAGCCAAGGATATGGACAAATTTAAATTTGAGAAAGATACATTAAAGAATAAACTGAAACTTCACATGTTAGGAAACAAGAAAGAAGAAGATCAAATGCAGAAGGTAGGAGACAAGAAAGAAGAACTATATGAAAAATTAAAATCGCTAAAGGAAAGGCTAACGTATAAGTTGAAAGATATAAATAAAGTGTTAACAAATAGTTCAAAACTACAAAAAATGGAAGGAGACAAGGAAAATATGGAAGATTTAAATAATGTAGAAACTAGTAAACGAGACGAAAAGGTATACATAGTAACATCCACAAAACGTGTAAATCTGGAGGATATTGATGATCCGACAAAATTTATAAACAATGAGGACAAAGACAATCCCTCTTCTGTAAAAACTATAGACGTTATCAGCAAAAATGATCAGGTTTCTTCAAATGTCGATGTCGTGAAAAGATCAATATTTAACCAGAAGGATGAAGGTTTTGGAAATTATAAACCTCTTACCCCAGATTTGAGAGCATGGAAACCATCAGATATACTTTCTTTGAAAAGAGATTTAAATTTTGACAGCACCAAAAAATTTATACCGATTAACGATTTTCTCATGTTTAGAAATGTGATAATACCAAATAAATATTCCAGAAGGAAAAAGAAAAGTATCGGGAATAGTTTAGATTATCTTGATAAAGATTCATATATGAATGATATAGAAAAAGACGGTGTATACACAGTTCCTAGGTTTAAGGCAGAGAAGAATGATTTCAAATTTAAGATTCCTGCCGAAGACATACAGAAGGAAAGTCATATTTCAGTGAAAACACTTTCATTTGGCACAGAACCAAAAATGGAGGAAGAAATACCAACATCTGTTGAAGCTATGGAAGTTAAAGTATTATCTAATGGCAATAATAAAGAAATAAATAATGGGACTCTTGCAAAAGATAATAATATTACAACCGTAATTAACAGAATATCCGAAAATATACAGAAAATACCAACAAAAGAAGAACAGAATATTGTCGATAGTTTTATTAATAAAATATCCGGATTCTTCACGAATATTGGATTGGCACTCAAACATTACTTATAAAAGAATGTTAAGAAATATTGCATTTTCAGATTCAAAATTCTTTTGGGAATCATATTGTTTTTATTAATATTGTTAATAATATTTAACTATTTTCATTTTTTTTAAGGGTAGATGTACTATTACAATTTATATTAATTATATAATGTTTACGTAGTCTGTTATTTATTTCAATAAACTTTACCAAATAATATATTTTGAATTTTTCTACAAAAAAGAAGTGCCGCTCCTCCATCCCTTTGTAGACACCATTGGCCCAGCGCATTGTAGGTACATCTTAGGGCGGCTCCAGATTATGCAGCCACTCGCCAAACATTCGTCAAACACAAATATATGAGAACATTACAAATATCTCCTTAAGTCTTTGAATAAAATTTTTCAATCGTGGGCTCTAAAATATATCCGATAACTGTATTTTTCCAGTGTTTTTATGCATACATGTTCTTTCAAATTCTTTCCTAACTTTTTTATTTTAAGAGGTAGAGAAAATGTATTTTAATAAAATTTCATGGCAAAATTGATATCTTTCACCTGGTGTAAACAAATTTTTGAAGTATCATATGTAATTTGCTGCGCCCTCTACGCGGGCAAAAAAAAATATTGTCATCGAAGCAGGCTGTGGATACAAAAAATTGGTTGTTTTTTTCTTTAATGCGATGTATGTCGCCTTTATCTTGTATAGTTATTACATTTTTTATAATTTGGTATCAAAAATGTAGATTAATGTAGAAATTATTTTACATATGCCAACTATAAAAAATGTAATGAATATAATCTTTTAAGCAAAGAATCTGTAATAACTGGCACCCATCAGTTTACCATCATAGAAGTGAAGTCCTATGATTTTGGTAGGTATCAAGAATTCTAACCCAAACGATTACTGAAAACCTTTGTTGAAATGCAGTTTCTCCGGGCCAATGTAAATTACCATTAGTCCATTTAAAGTAAATGTTTCTATTAAAAAATCCATTGTTACGAAACATCTGACCAGAGAATTCTTCTGTAAACAAACAATCATTTTTTTGTAGCCACAGCCTGTTTTGATGACATTTTCTTTTTGCCCGGGCAGAGAGTGCAGTAAATTACATACCATACTTTAAAAATCTGTTTTACACTAGGTGAAAGATATCAATTTTGCCATGAATTTTTATTTTCTCTATCTCTTAAAATGAAAAAGATAGATGACCCTAAATGCTCGGTACTTTTTCGGTTTTTTATGATTACTCACAAAGTTGAGAATGGATATCAAAATTGTTTTTACGGGCATAAAGGCCTCAAAAAATGCAACAAAAAGCATGTAAAGATTTTTGACGTGCGTCGTATATTAAGCGAGATCCATATGAGTGGCTCTTTTATAGCAGACAGCCTATATGTAAATTTAATCCATACCCACCCCTACGAGGGGGTTAATTCTACGCCTAAGATCAAACAACGAATGTTAGTGCAAAAACAATGTGAAAAACCATAGCCTTGTATTTTATACTTCCAAATATATGTAGGTTGATTGACAACATACCAAAAAAATATTATGTTATTCCTCAAAGGGTTAGAAACCACAAACAGTCCAGACCGACTTACCCTGTTAAGTCACACTTTTTTTTGTACAATATTTTTGCCTGAATTTTGTCGGATTTTTGAGGTCGCTGATTACGAATCTGAAGTTCGAATTTGAAAATTCCTGAATAAAAGATGGCGGATCCAATATGGCGGACTTAAAAATCGGTAAAACATTAAACATTTGAAAATTATGACTTAAATATGTTACTGGATGGTTTTCAAAGTCGCCAATGACGAATATAAGGTTTTCTTTCGGAAATTCTTAAGCATTTGGGTGGTAAATACTAATTTCTATGATATTTACCACCCAAATGCTTTTCCAATTTTTACATCCATCTTTTATTTGTGTTTCAAACAAAATTGTTGGTCACTTTGTGCAAAACCGTACTTATAATATCAACTTCGACGTCACCTGTTACATAGGTGTTGTATAACAATCAAAAAGTAATATTAGCGGTCGGTAGAAGGAAGCACAAAAAGCAGGCACTTACGTAGGAAATTCTGGAAGGAAGCCTAAATAGTCGAAGATAGGTAGTTGAAGTGAGAACAGTGTGCAGATAGGTAGCAAGACGATCGGCGGGCAGTGTGACAAAGTAGTGTAAAATTAAGTGTTTAACCGGTATTAGTTAGCAGGTAATATTCTTTAAGTACTTTGTTGTTAATTGTTCTATATAATCTTATGATTGTGATGATTATAGATGTTTCATGATAATAATTCTTTGTAAGTTTAGCTTCCATTGCTTTATGCTCAAGGGCATATATTTTTCTAAGGTAAAATTGTTATACTTATTATTAACGATTGCTCATTATTTATTTCATGTTAAAATATATATATTGTGTGGGCGCCCAGACATTACAATAATAACTCCTTTGTTTCACATCTAACTTGTTTTTGTCATGATTACGTTGTTCGTAAAATATAGATGTTTCATGATAATAATTCTGTATATGTTTAGCCTTCATTGTCTTACGCTCAGGGGCGTATATTTTTCTAAGATAAAATTGTTACAATTATTATTATAGATTGCTCATTATTTATTACATGTTAAAATATGTATATTGTCGTGACTGCCCAGATATTGCATTAACGACCTCTTTGTTTCACATTTAACTTGTTTTATCATGATTAGGTTGTTCTTTGATTTCTTGTGCTCACTTTATGTCATACGTCTATACGAGCCTTGTTGAATTTACTAACATTTTCGCCCGTGCGGAACGAATCTGGATTAAGCTCGATTGCCTCCCGTATGGGACTCCAGTGTTATGAAGGATCTTCCGAAATCTCAACTATAGCTGGATTGCCTCCCGTATGGGACTCCAGTACCTTCCGGCTCTGCCGGCTAACTAACACCAAACCTCTTCAGTTTTACTTGGAAGTGTGTATGACTAATATGAGGTAACAGATGACATTTAGTGACACATTAAATGAGACAGGTCTTATTTATCATTAGCAAAGGTTCTTAATTTATGCCTTTGGTTAGCGGTTGTTTTGTATTTATATTTGGGTGGTAAGAGCAACGATCGTGGGTTTCTCTGCCATGCTCTTTCCCCACAGGAGCTCTAGGTGAGCCTGGCACTCTCATTTTATGTTAAATGGTTGTTAATGTTTTTGTTGTTCTTTCTATTTGTCACATGTTTAATTTGAATTGTATGTAAATAAAGGTTAGGTGTATTTACTCTGCTTTTGTTTTATATAATTAAACCATACATCCCCTCCACAAAGTTAGTAGCCAGCGCCTTCCGGTCAATTAAAAATGGATACACACAACGTAGGTAGTCCTTATGACGATCACATATTTTTGGCCACAACTACGTTTACTTATTTTTTGTCGAACCTAGGGTTGTTATACTACAACTTGGTCATTTATGAAGGCTCTGTATATGTCACGTATCTAGCGGCACCCTAATACCTGCCCTGTCGTGTTGGTGTGCCGGTGAACAATCCAGGTTTTTGACTGAGACGTTGGCCATGCATTCCATTGGTGTTTATGCGTGTGTAAGTTTGACGCTTTGCTTGGTCGAGTGTATCACACGTATTTTTATTAGATTAAGTACTACTGTTTATTTATTTGATTTACTCCACAAAGTTTCCGATGTCTAGTTGTCAACAACGAAAAGTTGAATATTTGAGAGTGTTTAAATCTGATTAAATTTCATTATTTTACAAAATTGGTACCTTTGTTAAACTTTTTTACAAGGTAACTCAATTTACGTAGACATATTTGAAAGTCAACGGTTGTTGGTATATGCATGTGTCTGTAAATGTTTCTGTAACTATATTCAAAACGGCATTAGTTACTGACATTTGAATAGTTATAAGTTGGTCTAAATCATAAGAAATATTTAATGTAGCTACAAATTAAAAAAAATTAAGTTTAATTTCTTAACATTAATTTTGAAAACTGCAGTAGAAAAGTCTAAAGTTGGAGATATCTTCCAATTTATTGAGTTTTTATTTTTTGAAAAATAGTACTTGACGTCGTTATCTTGTTTACTTTTCAATTCTGCAGAATATTTTGTAAAGAGCAGTGTCTATTTGCAAAAGATTTTGCATTAAGTATTGGAACTTGTAGTAGCTACATTGCATTTAAAATAATTCGCTTGAACTATTTTGGTTTAATGAATCATAAAACAACTAAGTACAGAAAAAGACGATGAGCACCTTATAAAAGGAAGAATTCTGCAGGGAATACATTTTGAAGCTATGAATGATTCTTTCTCTTAAATCGGCATGTACAGGGTGTAACTAAAATACTTGCACAAATTTAAAAAACGGATTCTTCGTTACAAGTTAACAAAGATAGTTACTCTAAACAAATGTCTGGAAAGTCTTCATTTTTGAGGCAGAGGATGTTAAAAATTTCAAGGGTTTCATAACTGTCTAGTGACTTATGACTTATAACTCACAATAGTCTGTTTGGAAATGAAAGAGAGTAATAAAACCCCGAGATAAAAACCGGCCATGGGCGTGGTAATATTTTGTTTCAGGTAATTATCGGGTAACACTAATGCTAACAAAAATGACAGGGATTGGAAAATCGACTATCTACAGACTTTTAAAGGAAACAAAAAATGAACAAGATACTGTAAATCCCCCAAAATCATCTACAGGGAGGTCAAAAGTCGTTATAGATGATTTCTTCAAAAATGTCATTCGCAGAAAAGTACACTCATTTTATTTTAAAAAAGAAATACCAACGCTAAACAAAATTTTAAGTGAACTTTCAGAGGACAACGATTTGCCAAAAATCAGTAGAAGCAAATTATGGGCCGTCTTACGAGAGTTGAATTTTTGCTGGGAAAAGCAGAACAGGAAGTCAGTTCTTATCGATAAAGATGAAATTATTTGTTGGCGAAGATCCTACTTAAGATCAATTAGAAAATTCCGTGACGAAGGGAGGAATATTTATTATCTAGACGAAACTTGGGTCAACGAGGGATATACTGTAACAAAAGTATGGCAAGATAAAAATGTAAAAAGTTTTCGACAAGCATTTTTGGATGGACTTTCAACAGGGTTCAAGGCACCTTCAGGTAAAGGG